TGTATGGAGCTCCTTTCTCGGGCTCTGCCTTCTTTTCTGCTCCTGGACTCAGGATCCGGACAGTGCAGGGACCCAGGAAGAACGCAGCCTAAAATCCTCTTTCTAGGAGCCAGGAGACAAGCTGTTCTCTGGCTGTTGTCACAGCGACACCTGCAGAAGCTCCAGCTCTGTGACCCTCACCTCATCAGCCCTCTCAGCAGCTCCCACCTCTTGACCCAATGTCAATCCCCCCATGCTATTTTTAAAACATCTAATCTGTAGTGAGTAATGAGTGATAGAGATGTTAGTTTGCCATCTCTGGACAGACACATTCAAGGCAAGTCCTTATTAGGTTGTCACTGGGTATTTCAAGTGGTAGACAGAAATATAAAACCAAAGTAGTACACACCAAAACTTTTTAATGTCGTGTGATTTGAAATAGTTATAGATTTTTAAGAGTGCTTTTGCAATTAAAAAATAATGTAGAGCAGTGGATGTGGCTTGTTAGGTAGAGTGCTTGTAGTATGCACAAAGCCCTGGGCTTGATCTTGAGCACCACATAAAGCAGGCACAGAGCACAGACCCACAATCCCAGCACTTGCAGGGTTTTAACAGGAGGATCAGAAGTTCAAGATCACCCTCAGCTATACAGTTTGAGGCCAGCCTAGGATATATGAGACCTTGTCTGAAAGGGTTTTTAACTGGTACATGTTTGCATGTATTTATGGGCATAGGCTGATGGCATGCCACAGGTATGTAATGTGTAATGACCAAACCACAGTAAAGAGCTTTTCTATCTTAAGAAGTCTAACATAAAATAAGGCTGTGTTGAGGAGACGGCACAGTCCATAAAGTGCTTGTTGTATTAGCATGTAGATTTGAGTTCAACCCCCAGCGCCCACATAAAAACCAGGCAGTTGTAATCTCAGCACTAGGGAGGAAGAGACAAGAGGATCACCAAGGCTTGCTGGCCAACCACTCTAGCTGGATAAGGGAGCCACAGATTTGGTGAAAGATTCTGTCTCAAAATATAAGGTGACTGGTTAGGGGTCCCCCCAATATTCAAGACTAGATAAACTAGAGATCTTGCTGATGAAGTTGGTTGATGCCGTTTTTTTAAAAAGATTATCTTTTGCTCAGGTCACCTTCCTACAAGGAAATGAATGTTAGTTATCTATTATCATGTAACAATTGCCCCCATAACTCAGTGACTTAAGACAGTAATAACTTATTATCTGACTGAACTGTTTCTCTCAAATTCAAGTTGAAGCCTTCCTCCTCCATTTGACTGTGTTCCATGAGGCAGAGCCTAGAAGTGGTAATTAAGGGTAAAGGAGGGGCTTTGGCTAGATGCACACTTAGAATGCTCCAGATTGTCAGCTCGTCCCCTGCCCTGAAAGGAAAGTTGAATAAGCTCATGGAGTAGTCCAAAAGGACTGAGATGTGAAGGATGCAAGTGGGTGAAGAGGCTACATGAGAACACAACCAAACCTCTTCAGGCCAAGGTGGGAGGGCTCCAGGAGACCAGACCCCCCAGATCCTCGAGGCTGGACTCTGTATTTATCAGCTTTGTATTACGACGATGGAATGCTGGGCACAAACTGCTGCTGAAGTAGAGAAGTCTACATTGATTCACAGTTCTGGAGATCCAAGTTCATGGGGCAGAGCTCGGTTTCCACTGGAACCATATCATGGCTTAGGGTCTTCCCTTCCCTCCCCTCTTTCTGAGATACTCCCTTAATAATACTCACACCCCAAACTCTGCTCGCAGGGACTCTGACTCAAGATATAGCCCCAAAGTGAAATTCTAAGACCAAGGGTTTAGCTTAGTAGTGGAGTGCTTGGCAGCAAAGTGTGTGTGTGTGTGTGTGTGTGTGTGTGTGTGTGTGTGTGTGTGTGTGTTGTACTCGCACACTTGTGAATATGGGCACACTTTAGTGGTCAACTTGACATAACCTAGAGTCATCTGGGAAGAGTCTCAGTGAGGGATTGTCTACATTGGGTTGGCCTGTGTGAATGTCTGTGGGGGACTGTCTTAATTAAGTAAATTGATGTGGGAAGCATCACCCCTATGGGCAGCACCATTCCCTAGGCAGTGGGTCCTGATCTGTGTAAGAGTGGAGAAATGAGCTAGGCGGTGGTGGCACAAGCCTTTAATCCCAGCACTTGGGAGGCAGAGGCAGGCAGATCTCTGTGAGTTCAAGGCCAGCCTGGTCTACAGAGTGAGTTCCAGGAAAGCCAGGACTGTTTCACAGAGAAACCCTGTCTTGAACCCCCCTGCCCCCCAAAAAAAGAGTGGAAAAATGGACCTGACCATACACAAGCACAGGAGCATCTCTGTAGCCCCCACATCAAGCTTCTTGAGAGAGTTCACACAGTCTATGTCTTTGGCCCTTGGCCATGCAGGGGCTCAGAGGCAGTCTTGCTGAGGTCATGGTGAAATGGGATGACATGACTGTCTTTAGTATTATTAGGTAGGTGGGGATAACCTTGAACTTCTGATCCTCTTGTCTCTACCTCTCAAATACTAGTATTATAAGAACCCTCCACCAAGCCTGGTTTATGTGGTGCTTGAGACTGAACACAGGCTTCATGCATTCTGGACAAGCACTTTACCAACCGAGACACATCTACAGCCTGTATTTATTTGCTGAATAAATAAAGGATTTCAATAAGCGCTGTCACTAAAGAGAAATATTCACTCCCATCCCTTTCCAACTTTAGAATAAAATTCATGGGAGCTGACTTATAAAAAATGATCTTCATGGTCCCTGTTTATGGAAAGAGCCTTTATTCTGAAGAGCAGAGATAAATTACGCTGAAATATTTTTAGGGCCCGGAAATCTTCAAGCAGCTCATATCTCTTCATGAAGATTATGCCAGTAACAAAATTAACACGATCAGTCAAGCTCTTAAGGAACAGCCCATAAATTAAAGACATCCAACAAAACCCAATTATAAAGGGACAAATTTTGTATGAACTTCAAATACCACCTGCTCCACTGTGGCTGCAGAGGCTGTGGACAGTGCCAGGCGGGGGCAGCCCTCCCAGGATGGCATTTACAGGTGGTTAGGTGTGTTAATGGCAACTAGCCAGCAGGGACCTCCCTTTCCGATTTGTGATATACATGTGAACACGTGTGTTATCATGAGTGTGTGCCTTGTGTGTGAGCATGCATGTGGAGGCCAGAGGGGTCATCAGATGTATTCTGTGGTTCTCCACCTTACATTTTGAGACAGGGTCACTTCATTGAACTGGAGGCTTACCCCAAGTTAGTTAATTCAGCTAGGTTGGAGGGCCAGCAATCTCCAAGAACCTATTTGCCGCCTCCTCTCCCTCCCACTCCAGAACTGGGGTGACAGATTTGTGCCACTGCACCCAGCTTCTGCATAGGGGCTGGAGATCTGAATCCGAGTCCTTAGGTTTGTGTGGCAAGTGCCTAACCTACTAAGTCATCTCCTCAGCCCTTCTTTTCCACTTCCTGAAACACATCATTTCAAACGTCAGTGGGGAGCCCGGGTGGTCAGTCACCCTGGTTTTCTGCAGCTTTAAGTACTCAAGTACCATGGACAGGATCATTCTTTTGCTGTGATGAGCTGCACACGATACAGGTCTCAGCAGAGGATCATTGTAAACACGCAGTTTCACGACATAAATGTATCCACACTGTCATGGAACCATTATAAGATCCATCTCCCAGACTGTTCCATCTTCCCAAAGGGAAACTTCTATTAAAAAATATCACCCAGGGAGCCGGGCAGTGGTGGAAGCCTGGAGGAAGCTCGGGAGGCCCCCCCTGTACCCCCCATACCCCCCCAACACTGGCTTTGGACTTTTAGCTTCAGAATTGTGGGGAAACGCAATGTGCTCTTTTAAGTCTTCAGTGTATGGGATCCTTGGCTTTCTTCTCCACACGTTCTGCACTTGCAGATCTAATAGACTGCAGACTGGAAACTTTTGAAACAAGGCTGTCTCTGTACTGGATATGCATGTTTTGGAAGGACTGTCTAAACGATACAATAGGTTGACCATGCCATGGACTGTGTTACCAATTATGTTTTCCAAAGACGGCTTAACAATCTACAGGGGATGTGCCTAGGCACCATGCCACTTTATAAAAGGGATTAAGCACACAAGGTTCTTGGTACCCTCGGGGTCCTGGAACAAATCTCCAGTGGACATGGAGGGCAGACTGTGCTTTTCTGTCAATGTCCCAGGAAGAGAAACCAACATGACCGAATGACACGGCTCCGTCTATGCTGGGACGTCCTCACTGAGCTCAAGCATGAGGCTGGGTCTCGGAGAGTACCTAAGTCAAACTAAACAGGCTACTGTGGGAGGGTCTCCATGCATGGGGGACTGTGTTGGCTTGGGCAATATCCAGGTGTGGGGGGAGAATCTGGCCTCCTCCATCAACAACCCCAGACCTTCTCAGCTAATCCTCTGACAGCCACCAAGACATATTGTCCCACTTCCTCCAAGTGACTTTCTAAGAACCTACCTCAAGTCAGGTGACGCCAGACCTTAAAACTCTAGAATACAATCCCTTTCTTTCTTCCTTTCTTCCTTCCTTCCTTTCTTTCTTTCTTTCTTTCTTTCTTTCTTTCTTTCTTTCTTTCTTTCTTTCTTTCTTCCCTCCCTCCCTCCCTCCCTCCCTCCCTCCCTCCCTCCCTCCCTTCCTTCCTTCCTTCCTTTTTTAAAAAAAATCTTACTCCGCTTTGCTGTTGACAGTTTAGCAACCTAGTCAAGGTAAATCCAAATGGTGCTTCCAAAGCATGAGTTTTAAGAAGTGGAGGGAACAGACTTTCTCCTGATCATACTCTAAGTAGAGAGGATGACCCAGTTTCTCCTTTGATTCCTACTGCGTCAACTGGACCTTGTATGTTCCTCTTAGCCGGTGACTTATGACAATACAATTCACAAACGCTAGCAGTCCGGAGCCTCAGCTGGTGTGGGGAAGCTCCGTCCTCCCTCCCATAGTTGAGTCCAGCCCCACCCTGGGAAGAAGGTGCAGACTTACGGTTCTTAGAGGAACATGGTGTGGGGGGGATGCCAGTGGCTGCCGCACTGGACTCTGAAAGGCCAGGCAGAAGCGCTGGCCGGTGTCCGGTGGGGAAGCATGGATGCGGTTTTCTAGGCGTTCAGGCTCCTGTTTGTAGGACTCCAGGGGAAACGGGTGAGGCTTGGCCACTTGGGTGGGTGTTGATGGAGAAGAGGAGACGCTGGAGGCTGGAGGGACAGGACAGAGCGCGTTAGAAGTGCGGCCTTGGCAGAGAAGAGGAGGCTCTCTATTTCTGAGAGCCCGTATCTTCCTCTCACAAAACACCTGAAATATTAAATGCAGAAATCAGGGAAGAGTTTCTTACGTGTGTTCACAGCCTCTTAGAAGTTCAGGGTTCAGAAACGGCCTCACCATCCTTGGTGAGGTGTGGGCAGGCCCCAGTGTTGGGGTGTTCATATAGTCCTGACATCGTTCGGGCTGACCTCTTCACCCCTCCACATGGACTTGCCCTCCCCTTGGCCAATACTGCTTGCTCTCTTCTCCATCCCTACCAAGCTTGTGCTAACAGCAAACACCATGGAGTCATTGGTGGAGCTTGCTTATAGGGAAATAGAGAGCTCAACAGAACCAAAGTCACTGCTAAAGAAGTCACATGACTGTATGGGTGAACAGGAGAGTGCTCGCCTTGCAAGCATAAGGACTTGAGCCTGGAGTCCACATAAGAAAGTCAGGTATGGTAGTATACACTTATAATCTCAGCACTGGGGAGAGGAAGACAGACAGACAGATTCTTGGGCTCGGCCAGCCAGCCTAACCACTTAGTGAGTTCTAGGTTTTAGAAGATACTCAAAGTTGTCCTCTGACATCCATGTGCACATACACACATACATACCCACACATACAGAAATATGCACACAATACAGAAGAATATGCACATAAGAGATGTGGGCTATAAACATTCCTGGTAATATAATCCTGTCTTGAGACCTTGTTGTGAAGTACATGCCAGAAGAGGCTGGCCATAAAAGGGGCTTCTAAAATGCAGAGGCCTTAGATAGACAGGAGAAGGGAGGAGGGAAAACGTGTATCAATGTAAAATTGCAGGGAGACTGGGGATATGAATCTGCCAGGAGTAAAAGTTATTCAGATCACAGAGCTCCTGCAGTCCCGGGATCTGTCTTTGATAGGCAACCGTCACACATGCATACCCATTAGGTTGCCAGTTAACTATTATGGGTCAAATTGTGTCCCTGGAAGCATGCATTAAGGCCTAGTGCCCAGTACTGTGAATGCGACTTTATTTAGAAATAGGGGTTTTTTAGGTTAATCAAGTTTGGGTGAGGTTCTGCTGGGTTGGGATGGGCCTGATACAGTATGGTAAGTGTCCTCACAAGAGAAGTGTCTGGGCATGATGGCACTCAGGAGGTGGAGGTAGGCAGATCTCTGGGAATTCGAGGCCAGCCTGTTTTCCATAGTTAGTTCCAGGTTAGCCAGGGCTCCATGGTAAGACCCTGTCATTAAGGAGGAGGAAAAGGAGGAGAGAAGGAGAAGGAGAACAAGAACAAAGAAGAAGAGGAAGAAATAAAGGGACACAGATGCATGCATGTGCACAAACACACGGGGGGGTCAGGGCGCGGGGGTGTGTGTGTGAGAGACCGATCAATGGACCCTTGGAGCCGAGGGTGATATATGTACAAAGAGAAGGCAAGGATGACTGGTAACACCAGAGGCCAGAAGAAATAGGGACGGACCCTGCCCTGCATAATGTGGAGGGGACACGGCACTACCCATGCCTTGGTTTTGGACTTCTGTTTTGTTTTCAGATAGGGTCTCATATGCCCCTGGTTGGCCTTGAACTCACGACGTTGCTGACCAAGTCTAGCAGGATGCCAGCCTGCCCCTCATAGTGAGGTCAGAACAGGCCAGCTCCACTTGTGAGTGTCAAACAGGAAATCTTTCATCCTTACTCTCTCCACTTAGTCTCAACCAGACACCCAGTCCTGCCTCGGTGCTTCCCTTGTGGACATGTCTAACTCCTAATGGGATGGGTGGGGGTGGGTGGGGGTGAGGGGGTGGGGAGGGGCTGATGAGGTGTAACAGGGCAGGGTGGGCCAGGCAGGTCAGGATTGGGAAAAAAACCTGTGATAAACACACACACACACACACACACACACACACACACACACACACGGATCGTCACTGGCGACGCTTCTAAGGTCTGGGGTTTCCACGTCTAGACAGGGGCAGTTCTCCGTGACCTCCAACTCCTCCTGGGCCCACTGACAGAAAGCACTGATATCCGGTCTCCGTGGAGCACAGTCAAAATTCCCTGGGGCTGCATCTTTACCTAGTCTCCATTCAGAACTTCTGGTCCAAACCACATCCACAGACACATTTTCAAAGACCCAGAAGAACAAGCGCCTCTGCGGAGGCCATTTTGCTGATCCAAACTACAGACATGGGGCTGGGGAGAAGGCTCGGTCTGCAAAGTGGGGCTGGGGAGAAGGTTCAGTCAGAAAGTGTTTGGCTTGCAAGAATGAGGACCCGAGTTTGATCCCCAGAAACCATTTCAAACAAACAAACAAAAGGAAACAAAAACCAGGTATAGTGGTTGTGTGCTTGGAACCCTAGTTTGGGGAGGTAGAGACAGGAGGACCCCAGGGGCTCACCTAGCCTACTTGGAAAATTCCAGGCCAAGTGCAAGACCCTATCTCAAACAAACAAACAAACAAACAAACAAAACAAAACACCAAACCCCCAAACCAAGGTAGATATCGCCGGAAGAGCAGCACCCAAGGCTGTCCTCTGACCACACACATGTGCACCTGCATGCTCACACAGGCGAGCACGTTAGTTCATTCCTCGGACCTGCTTCTCCTCACCGAGTGACTGGGTTACTGCAGTGCTAATCTTGAAAGCAGATCTCACACACCCACCTGTTTATCACGTGGTGAGTCACGGCAGCACGGTGCCTGGTGGGAAGGGGTCAGCCTCCCACCCTCTCCATGTGAGGAAGTGGTAAGCAGAAGAGGCATGGAGCCCTTGGAATGGCATGATACCATCTGGAGTTTTAGGAAGGGGAAAGGATTTTATAGTGCTCACATCCTGCCAATCCACAGATGTCTGCAGGTCCCTGGAAGGGGACATCTCCAGGGAAGGGAACAAGCAGAAGGAAAGTTGTCCCCTCACATCTTTTCTGCTCCCATGCTCTATAACGTGGGTATGGCGGGCGATGTTTAGTCTTCATTGTCAATTTGACTGGATTTAGACTCTCCAGAGAAGCATACCTCCAGGTGTGTCTATTAGGGTGCTCCCAGGGAGGTTTAACTGTGGGTGGCATCATCCCATGGACTGGGTGTCCCAGACAGGACAAAAGGGAAAGTTAGCTGTGTGTCAGCATCCAGTCTATTTCCAGACTGCAGAAGCAATGTGACCAGTCGCCTTAGCTCCTGCTACTAAGCCTTTCGTGCTACTGGACTGTCCCATAGCGTGAGCTAAAACAGACCCTTTCTTCCTCACGTTGGTTTGTCAAGCATTTTGTCATAGCAACAGGAAAAGTAATTATACAAGTGTGTATTATACATTTTGAAAATTATTTTTTCTATCCATTGTTCTTTTTATGAGCAGCTGGCAAGCCATGTGCTTAAGCACATGTCACCCCCTGCCCCCGTCCTCTCTACAGCTCTGTGCAACTTCCACCAGAGCTAGAGACAGGGCTTTGTCATCCTGAGCTGACTGCTGTCTGTAGAGTACAGGCTCCCTCCCTCCCCACCTCTCTGTTTCTACGTCTTGGTCTGTCTGTACATCTTTGCAAGAGGCTATCTACTCACACCATTCCCCTGGAAGAGGCCCAGTCACTGCTGGGTGAGGGGCCTCACTGACAGAGAAAACTCCCTGCTGGTTCTTTGGGTAGCTAACATTCACCTTTCCAGTGTAAACCATTGGAAGAGAAGGTAGGCTGCTTGCCCAAGAGGGCTCAAAAAGGTACAAGCCATCAAACTTTGTGGCCCTGAGTCCTTGTAGGTTGTTTGTGCAAATGCTGGAAGATTCTGACCCACTCCAACGGAGGCCAGGGGAGAAGGCTGGAGGCTGAGGGGCACTGGGCCACAGCTAGCATGGGCCGATCTCCTCGTGTAAGCAGCTAGCAGAATGAACGGCCTTTTCTGCTGGGATGGATACCCTACTTTTGATGTGGCTAGACGCCTTTCCACCCCTTCAAGGATAACTATTGACTTTCTAAGGCCGTGAGGTGTCTTCATCTTCCACCCCACCTGCCTCACCTCTGTCCTGCTCTCCTCTCTGAGCCAGGAACTCCCATGGGGGAGACAAATGCACAGTGACTCCACAGGCTGTGTCTGGCAGCTTTCTGGGACCATGACCCCAGGACACCGACTGAACAGAAGAAGAGGCTTACCCTGGCCCATGGTTTCAGTCTGTGACGGGCTAGCCTTGCTGTTCTGGGCCAGTGGTGGCCCAGTATAACAAGTGGCAAGAGCCCACCTCATGGACAGGTCACAGAGAGGAGGAGGAGGAGGAGATGAAGGACCCACAATGCCCTTCAAGGAAACAACCCCAAGGACTGAAGACCTTCTACCAGACCTTACTGCTTAAGTTTCCCACAAGCACCAAGTTGGGGACCCAGTCTTTAACATGTGGGTCACTGGGGAACATTCTAGATACAGACCATGGCAGGGGGGAAGGGTAATGTGTGAGGCGAAGGGACAGGTAAAATGCCAGATGCAGGGCAAGGCTCACACATGCATATGTGGGGAAGATATGATTAGTTTAGGGGTACAGGGAAGAACCTTCCTAGAATAAAAAATATGCCCCCCCTTCTCCCAGAGGGGTAAAATGTCTTCCAGCACCCCGCAGCACTTCCTGCTGCCTGCAGAGTCCCGCCACACATTCTGGGTCATCTGCTTCTCAGTCACCTACACTGTGCCTGAAGCAGCTGGTGGTCAGAGGACATTTAATTACTTATCCACTTCCTTTTGTCAAGCAAATTGCCGAGTTCATATGTCCTGACTCCAGCTCCCAAACTCCTTTACTGTAAATAAATCGAGACACTGTCAAGGCACAGGGCTAAAGATATAAAATTCCATTTCAGCCCCGTGAACTCTCTCTGAAAGAGGGCTTCACAGGCCTACAGGGGAGTCTGGAGATACCAGGCATCTGGAAAGGGCAGGAAGAGGCACTAAGGGAGGGGGAAGGGTGTGCAGAGGAGGGG